GCCCTCTTGTATCTTTTTAAAGAAATCCTTCCCTGCTCCTGAGTCATGAGGATATATACGTTTATTGTTTTCTAAAATTCTGTGGTTTTGCCATTCACATTTATGTCTGTATTCTACGTGGAATTGGGTTTTTATGGATAGTATGAGTAGGGAAGTGGTTTCATTTTTCCCCCATATGTATAACCAATTATCCCAGCATAAAAGACTTTTGTTTCCCCACTGCTCTGCAGTACAAACTCTGTCATATATAAAGTAATCATATGCGTGGATCTGTTTCTAGAATTTCTTTTCTGTTCCATTGGTCTTGCTGACTATCCCTATCTTAATTGCTATAGCTCTATTTTAAGTCTGATAAGCTTGTCTGATGGGGCAGTTTCTCCTTATTATTCTTTTCTTGGAGTGCCTGGCTATTTTAGGCCTTTTGTACTTCTGTATAAATTTTAGAATCAGTTCATCAAATCTGTTTTTAGGAATAATACTGTATGATTCCACTTATATGAGGTACTTAGAGTAGTCAAAATCATAAAGACAGAAAGTATAATGGTGGTTGCCGGGGTGGAGGGAAGGAAGGGATCCTATTGTTTAATAAGTATAGACATTGAGTTTTACAAGATGAAAAGAGTTATGGGGATGGATGGTTGTGATGGCTGTACAACCATGTGAATGTGTTTATCATCACTGAACTGTACACTTAAAAATGGTTAAGATGGCAAATATTATGTATATTTTAACACGATAAAAAAGAAAGCAATTTTTTTTTTTTAATTGGGATTGCGTTAAATCTGTAAATCAGTTTGGGGATGATTGTCTTTGCATTGACTCTTCTAATTCATGAACATAATACATCTCTTCATTTATTTAGATATACCTTAATTTAAAATTTTACCTAAATAAAGTTTATAAATTTTATCCATGGAGGTCTTGTACATCTTTGATTAGATTTATTCCTAGGTATAGTATGTTTTAAAATTCTATTTTAAGTGATATCTTTTTAAAAATTTTTATTTTCTGTTTGTTGCTAGATAAGGATTACATTAAAACTCAAATTGTATCAGGGTCAGCTGTCCAAAATAATACATGAAAAAATATAGAAGTGTTAAAATGCAAATTGTATCCTTAAAAATTACATGGATTGTTTGGGTGGTAGAATTAGAAATAGGTAATATGAAAATTGTGACTTTGCTTCATTAAGTGGACTTTAATAAATAACAGTGCTGTGGATTCAAAATAACACTTGCTAGGACATGATAGTTGAATTTCTGACAACATGAAATGCTACTGAATATTGTATTATGGTTCTAGGCTGTTAGTATTACTAAACTTTCTCATACATGTCTCTTTTATTTAACTCAGGTGAAAAGGATTCAATGATTTTTGACTGTACTGAATGCTATGATCCAGTTACTAAACAGTGGACAACTGTAGCTTCAATGAATCAACCCCGCTGTGGCTTAGGAGTCTGTGTGTGTTATGGGGCTATCTATGCTTTGGGTAATTATATCTAATATTATTTTATAATTGTAATTATATCTAATATTTAAATTTATTATTAACTTCTTAATCAGATTCTGATTACTTTAGAAATTTTCCTTCTGTCCCGTAAGAAACTTGTATGTTTTCTGCTTTATAAATTTTTTTTTTTTTTTTTTTTT